AATATATATATATATATATATATATATATATATATATATATATATATATATATATATATATATATATATATATATATATACTTATTTAAAGGGATGGGACATAAATGATTTGTTGTTAAATAAACCCTAAGGTAATTATTCTTTTCAAATATTATTTTTCACTGATTGAAGTGAATAATTAAATTCTCTCTTTCACACTTAATTACTATCTGCTTTTCTTTCTAACTTTGGTTTGACAAGGAATGCTATTTAAAAATTTATTTAGAAATTTATTGCAAGTAAAATTGATTATGTCAGTATTGATTAGGGTGGATAGAAAGCTAATCTAGTTGTGTTCCAATTTAAAACTTGCTTATATTTGGTCATTTTTAAAGGGAAGCTTAATAATGAGGCAATTATTAAGCTAAAATAATGGACAATCATAGCCATTTATTCATTGTTTTAGTTAGAATTTTAATGAAAACATTGGTATAGCATCGTTTCAAATAATTTTATTTATTTAAATGGAAGAGAATTAATTAATTCATATTTTTTTCTTTCAATCTCTTCCTTTCTCTTTCCATTTTTTTTTCTTTTTCCTGATTCACTTAAATTTTGCTTTAAATTTAAATCTAAAAGAGATTGATTCTATTGTTAATAAAATTATTTTTTCTTTTTATTTTTAAATTTTAGCACACCTTATCTTTATTAGGCACATTCATTCCCCCTGAAATTTAATTTATTCTAAATGCAAATAATTAGTAAGAGCTAAGGGAAATGATCAATCCATTAAAAAAAGTTAATAAGCCAGATTGGCAGGAAACATTTCTCAATTACTTGGTTTTTATTGCAATTATTAATTTGTTTAAATTAGATGACAGTATGAAGTTAAACGGATAATGCAATGCTATAAATATTTACGATTGTTTCAAAAGTTTGAATCAAAAAAAATGACAACGTATTTTTTTTTTTTTTAAATTTTTGCATATCAGAAAAGAAGCATGTTATTCATAAATATTCAATGGCATTATTTAAATATATTGATTAATCGAAATCAATTAACTTATCTTTTCAAAAATATACTTTGAGTATTTCCAATTTTGTAAATCAGTAATTGGTGAAACAGGGATCTGAAAAGAGCTTAAAAAATGATTAATTTGATTTATACCAGTTTCATTTCATCAATTTCAATTCATGTCCACATATATTTTTCAAGATATATGCTTTTTTTGATTGAAAGTTTACGCTTTCAATTATCAAGAATATCAGCTTGTTTGATGTTAAAATTTACTCATTAACTTAAGATCATTTATTTCAATTTAATCTTTCACATTAAAAAATAATTTTTGCTTCTTGAATGTTTAAATCCTTCGTTAAGCTATATAATGTACAAACTGTGTAAAATTTTAATAAATTACAAATTATGAATTGGAATTGAATGAACGAAAATAAAGGTCAACGTTGATATTGATTAAAGTGATTAGGTAAAAGATGATGAGCAATTTAGGGAATCTCAAGTGACCAGGATTAATTATAAATATTTAGCTATTAAGATCATAATATTATCACAGTTCTGTTCTACTGGACGAAAACGTACAATTGAATTTCATTATATCAAAAAAAATGAAAAAAGTTTTTTCTGCTACAAATGAATAAAAATATTTCATTAATTGTAGCATTTGCTTCATTAACTTATAAAAATAATATTTATCATAACATATGATGCATCAAAAATAAATGTTATCACAATACAGTATAACAAATCTTGATAAATTAATATTTGAAATATTTTGACTTTTAGATAAAAAATTAAAAACAAATTTTTAATTTAATTTAAAATCGAAACGGAACATAGGCGGTATTGGCGAGATACGACATTTTCTGCACAGTTTTTTCTCTTCCAAGCTAACTCTACATATGTTCTCCAAAAAAACCATCAGTGTTATGGATGATACTATGTTTTCTCGACTCGAGACTAGAATGAACCAGTATAGTAGTCTATATATCTAAAGTTGAGATATTCTTTCAGGATATCCTTATATCTCCTCTTTGAAGCTCTTCTTTTGTGGAAGCCGATGATCAATTCAACATAGAGCACAATTTTAGGAAGGCGGTGATCTTCCATCCTGTGGATGTGTATAGCTTCAATACTGGTGACCCCTATCTGTATGAGAACAATAATATTGGATACTAGTATCCACTAGTATTAGGATTATAGAAGGATTCTTATGGTAATTTGAGGATGATGAAAAAAATTTTCTGAGATGTAGGTTGATAGAGAGGACTTTTATCTTTTTAAGCTAATTTTTAACCCAATCATTTTCTACAAAAACAACATGTTAAACATTGCAGAGCTATTTTTGTATGAGTAACGAGGGGTGACAGATATCATCAGTAGAAAAACAGCTCGTGGACAAAACGGTTTGCTTTTAGATGCTTTAGATTGAATGGATTATTTGAAAACTTTTTTTCAATCACATATTATAAAATGAATTAATTGGAATTGATTAAACAAAAGACTTCGCCAAATCTTACATAATGAATTTCATGAAATGAATTTTTATTTGATATACATTACAAGATAAATTAACTGATATTAATGTCATATTTCAATAATCAAAAATTGAAAAATTTCTTCCAATCATTGGAACCGGTTTCCGATATGATTTCCGTTAATTCCGATCCAAAACAATAATTTGATTCATTTCACTTCCCATACAATTCTGTTTCAAATTTATTCCTGCATATCGATATTATTATCTCTTATTACCCTAAGTAAATTATAATTTGGCAATATGAACATCTTTCAATCAGTGGTTATTCATACTTAATTAAGCTCCTCATTAACTTAATCATTTGATTAATTGCACAAATTGCATAGTTAAGTAGTGCAAGATTTGCAATTTCCTATTTAATTATTTTTACATAATGCACCATTAGAAGTATCAAATTATTAGCGAATTGAAAGATAATAATAATAATATTTGTATGATTTAATTTGAATATTTTTTTCTTCATCTTCATAACAACATTGCTTTTTTCTTCAATAATTGAATTTTTAATTTTTAATTTTAGTTTTTTGTAAAATAATTTACAAAAATTGCTGAAAGTGATCCAAAAATCAAATTATCAGTGATTATTACAAAGTAAAATAGACAGCTACTCTCTACCTGTACAACACTGTACAATTATTATTCACAATCATATTGAGTAAGGAAATATAAATCAGTAATATTGATTAATCTAAATATTTAATCAAATTAGCTTTCAGCATCATGTCAGACATCGGTCCAGTGGTGTAGTGGTTATCACATCTGCTTTACACGCAGAAGGTCGGCGGTTCGATCCCGCCCTGGATCAGGCTCCTTTTGCATAAAAAAAGTAGCCCAGTATTTTTGATCAGTTGCCTATTTCATTGTAATTTACATACATTAATAAAGAGACTTGCTAATAAGAACCATTTATATATGCTGATCATGACGAATAGATGACAAATATTTGTTATTTTGAATATAAGAAATAAAGTTGCACATAAATCATTTGACATTAGCAATCTATTAGAATAGAATGTTGTCTCCTTTTTGAGTATTTCAATGTCAAAAAGGAAAAAAAAAACATTAAATTATAGGAAGTGACAAAGAGATGAAAATCATCACATGGGCTATATTCTATTATTGGGTAATGTTTTGGTGACAAATTTGACTTCAGAGAAAAGAAACGAAATGAGTACGTATGTCATCCAATATTATTAGTGTACTTTTTAATTTCAACAGATATCATAGATTAGCAATAGTTTGCAAGTATTTCAAGATAGCTACAAAACAAAACCATTGAAATTCCACAATTTCCAAATAAACTTTCGGATGCAAAAGTATTTTTAAAGGAGAATTCAATTTCAGCACAATTCAACTGATACACTGAATTTATCAATTTCAAAAGTTGATACTTGTATTGGTAAAATTTGTACAATTACTGGTATTGATTCAATTTTTCGTAGTGGAATTGATTGATTAGCACAAATTGTACAACAAATGACCCAATTGATTAATTATTGAGAAATAAAGTTAGTTTAAATGATTATTATCAAATTTTTGATATTTAAATTAAATATACAAATTCTCATATCCATTCTTATTATATTCATGAAATATGATGAATTATTTAATAAAATGATAAATGAAAATATTCTGCTCATAAAAATCTTCTTTTCGGATGTTACTGATATGTGCAGAGAAAAAAATTTTGGCAGTGATAAAATTTGTTGATGAAGAAAGTTGTAGCATTGAATATGATGAAAGATGAGCGAAATTTTGTAAAACAAATGGTAAATACTAATGATTTAGCACTGCTCCGGAATTTTCACTTCAATAAATATGAAGTGATTTAATAATTCATTTAATTTTCTGCATATATTTTAATTCTTGAATAACTGAAATGCAAGCAAGAATGTTTCAATTAGGATAAATATATTATTCAAGTTATATATATAGCAGTCCTCACTCACTCATTATCAATTCCATATTCATCTGTAATACCCAATTCCCAATTCCATATTCATCCATAATGAAAACCACAATTCCACATCCAACAAATTTAAAATTAGTCGTTTGTAATTGATTAAAAGTGAATCATCCATTAAAATAAGAATAGTAAGGAAAGATTTCAAACTCAACCTACATCAAAATGTTGGCCTCATAATTTAAGCCTAAATAAATGTAATAGCCATTCATTTAATCTGTTACACTTGAAGAAATCTAAAAATACTAAACATTACTGAAGTTAATTTGCGGAGTTTACCGCTTGATCACTATGAAATGTTGCAAAAATCGAGCAATAAAGTTTTGAATAAATTTGCAGACAGTTATTTGAAAGAAAATATCGTACAATTTTTTGAATGCATTAACACCAAACGACAATAATGAACTGAGGGTGAAATATCTATGTTGCAAACTATTAGTATATTTACACGAAATGCAGTTTGGAAATCCAAACAAGAAATTCTGGGAACTCAACCCGATGAATACATTAGCAATATTCAATAACTTCCAGTTTTTTTTCTTTTTTTTTTTTCTAGGCTTACGGGATGTTATCTGAAGAAGACAAGCTTGCTGCATTCATTAATGAGAAGATAGCTGGGATGAATTTCACTAGCATCGATAAACATGAGATTGAACGGTATTTAAAATGTCTTTTTATGTCGTTAAATCGAATAGCGCACAACGAGCTGAAGCATACAATTTCCACGAAATTTACCTTTTTTAGCATAAAAAATCAATCCGATTTGTAAAACTTTTTAATAAATGTTAATTTGTTTTCTGAATTACTAAAAGATTATTAAAATGCATCTTTAACATGAGTAAATTAAAGGGATCGGTTTCGAAAAGCATAAAAATGTCTTAAAATTTTTATGTGACTTATAATTCATTAAATATAAAGGAATTACACGTCATATAAGCCTCGCACACTGCTTCAGGGTTAAAATACTTGGTTTATTCGGAAGAGACGCATGAAGATAATTAAAGATTCATAGCAAAGGTCATCGCTTAAAATAAGGAAAAGATTTAACAGGAGTTCGATGGCGAAATGATAATAAAAGCATGTTAAATGATAAAAAAAGTGTGACCAAGTGTGTTATTCAATCCGACTACTTGTTTACAATTTGGACATTTTTTGATGACAATAATATTTTTTCTTCCCCACACGAAGATATAAAATAGGGGATTATTTTTTTTAAAAAATGAGAATTACAATAAAATTATGAACCAGCATATAACGCAGCAAATAAATAGATTAATAATTTCATGAATACAAGAATGGAATCGATGATCGTTAAAAAGATAATCTTCTGTAGTCGAATCTATATAGTCCGTTGCCTGTAAATTTTTTCTGAATATATGGAGGCTATTTTAAATTTAGAAACGAAATCTAGATTCTCAAATAAGACGAATTCCAAAAAAGATTGAAACTTTAAAGAGAAAAAAACTCAAGGTTATCAAGTAGAAAACCAACAAAATTCAGCGAGGAAGCGCTAATTCTAGCAAACATTGAACCACGTGAGAAAAAACGTGAGAAATTTTACATGAGGTGATAATATGTAAAATATATTTCATAATCCAAGCAATTAACAACTGCTCTTTAATAAGAACAGTATATCAAACCTTAAACATCGGAAATCTGAACCAATTCTTCATCAGTTACTTCAGGAACTTCTGCTTCTTCGGCCGTAGCTGATTCGGCCGATCTCAGTTCTTCTATACACTGCATGACTGCGCAACGCACAAGTTCTCGTTGCTCCGGAGGGAATGTTAGAATGGATGAGACGATAGTGCGACTAAACTGCTCATCATCTATATCATGTTGCTTTTTTTCTGCTCCAGTCAGCAAATTTAGATTCCCCATTGATCTCTCTGCCTCCTGAAACATATAGAAATGTTATTGTACAAGTACACTCTAATAGCAATCGGAGACGTAAAAGCAGTAAGAGCTATGTCATTTCATGCACTATGAAACTTACTACTCCGGTGCGCATATCATCATTGTGTGATTATCGACTTCGTTTTAAAGCAATCCTATTCATATAATTTTCTAGTTATACAACATCGTAACGTAATAGAGCATTAAAGCATACCAAATTTGTATCTTCATAATGTTCAAGATCGTTGTTACCGTTTCTGGAGGATGGTTGGGCTAATTCGGAATCAGAAATGCTGCGCTTTAGACGTGAAGGTACAGCAGCTTCTTCACTTCTACTTTCCATGGAAGGCAATTCGCTGGAAAACAATTAGAACTGAAAATAAACTGAGCAGACCAATTCTGGGTTTTATCAAAAGACATTAAAATAATAAAGTAAACTGTAACTGATGGAATTACTTATTGACAAATGAATTCCCATCATTCGATTTTGAAATGATTTCCTCAAACGAATTCCCTTCCTGCACGTATACCACATCGACAAATTCATCACCATCAGCGTAACTGTAACTCAAATAGAAATTTCCAAAATTTAGAAAGTGGAAATGAACTGTCTCTTCAAGTACTAAAGCAAAGCAAAAATTAGTTGATGTAGATCTCCAAGAAAAAAGTAAATTTTTTTTTGTAAATTCCCGGCTATTTACTTACGAGCCATCTTCTCGAATGAATACTTCGTCAGCATAAGATGGACCTCCTTCATCTGCGTAACTACTGTAGGCTATCACTTTCCCTTTATCAACACAGTGCTGTGCAACCGCATATTGCTGCTCTTAAAAACCATGACAGAATCATATGCATCAAAAATTCACCATTACTATAAGAACTCCAATATTTTACAGTATAGCATTTTTTCACATCATCATTAATGCTTTTTTTTTTCATTTTTTTACATAATTAATCATTTTTTCCCATCAATGCCTTCTTTTTTTTTTCATTAATGATTTCTTCAGAAGCCTTGCTGCTTACAAGATTTACGACGCTAGATTCTTGTTGGATCGTCCTCAAACTCTTTTCTTACATCGATAGAAAACTCCGACTAAAAAGTTAAATGAATGAAAGATATCAGTTTAGAGGAACTCGCAAGGATCAGAATATTAATCTAATTTTAAAAACCTAAAATTATCATACCATCATAATCATCGAAATCTTCTTCATCAACTTCTTCCACCCATGCGCTATCATCATCAATATCAAAGCCATCATCACCTCTCGGTTTTCCAGCAATTGCTGTAATACGTTTTGTCACTGGTCTGATGATTCCTTCAATGAGATTATCGTGCATTTTCCGCAGGTGACGTAGCATTGCCCTCGTTGAACCCAACTTACGTACCATGACCTGGAAATAGAAGAGAATTCATCAAAACTATGTATACAGAGAGAAAGGCTAAGATTAAATCTAACTTTATAAATTTTCAAAACTTATATTTGAAGCAGTCCTTTTAAGATTTCTATCAAACGAGAGAGAATATGCTACTACCATCAGAATAATGCAATCAAAGGAATAAAACGAGGTCTGTCACCTTTTCTAGAAAAAAACAAAACCTTACCATGCCACAAATTCTACATTTTGCTTTTGATTCACCATCTTCATCGAATTTCTCACAAAATAACCAGACTTTTGATTTTGCCTTAGCTAGCGGATCATCCGCAGCCTCCTCCTCATGCCTAAAATCAAAAAACATTTACAATGACTCTGTCTTATGAGGATTCTTATTTTTCTTCAGTGGTACACTTTGCAGTGCTTACTTGCTGGTTTTCCAAGCAAAAAAACATATTCCGGAAAAGGCATAGTCGCAGCATGGTGAAACGTCAAGTGGGAGTTCATAGTCTCTAATTATGCCACTCTATTAAAGGGCAAGCAAAGTCGCTTAAAGGTAATGAAAAAATAAAGGAACGAGATAGTGAAATAAAAGGTGGTATCTTTAAAAGTATGCAAATGAGTGAAGAAGTGATACCGAAATAAAAGGAATGTTTAAAACAACCTCAAAGCTTCTTGTCTGATTGACTCTTCTACATTTTTGTCCCAATTCTTTGGCTCATCGATTCTTTTCCGTCTGACGATCTTCTCCTTTTTCGGCATTCCCAAGCACCTCAGAGAATGAGAAACCAAAGTTATATTGCTGCTAGATACTGGTGTTGTGCTGAAGAAAATAAAAACATTATCATTTCTCTGAAAATGTTTAGGACGTAGCAAATACCCTCCACTTAACTCTACTAAACGATAGAGATTTTCTAAAGCTGTAAGATTTTTGATGTTTCCAGTCCAACATTTACTTTTTAACTTCAACTGTTTGAGCTTACTACTACAGAAATGAATGCTAGTCAGATAATGGTCAGACTATTACCCAATGCGTGATTTCTTCAAATCAAGTCTGGACGACATTGGCGATGGTGAATAGCTTTTCCGTTTAGGAGCGCGAGCTGATCGACGTAATGAAGAGCCAGTAACTAAAAACTATGATTAAAAAGTCCCAACTTTTAAATCCACAGGAAAAAACTGCGTTTTAGCAATAAGCTGTCTCAACAGAACTGTTAACTATTTGTCCACTCTGAAATTTGATTCGTAAAACCACTAAGTTGATTTGTAAAATCTGATTCATTTGACTCGTAAAATTCTTCCCTGTGCATAAAGAAACATGAAAAAGTGGAAAACCATCTTTCCAGAAATAAATTTTAAATACAACTAATAGTTAAAAAATCATATGGTAGTGCATAAAACCGGATTTTCGCCAGTTTCACTTCCTCTTAACATGAACTATCAAATCCAACAGTCTGAAGGATGAACCGTTCGAATGTTCAACTCTAATCGATGGTGCATGCGTATCAATATCATCATCTTCCTCCTGGATATTAACTTTTGAGCCATCAATTCGTGGAACACGTGATGCAGTCATGCGAACATAACCCGATCTATTCCCGACTGTTTCGCCCTAAAAATTTGCAATAGTTCTTTTCAGTTTTTTATTCTCTTAGAAAAAAAAAACTGGAAGCATCATGCTATGATGAGGCATATTTTAAATGCTGAGAGATCAATTAACTGGATTCAAATGATTCGTACCATATAAACCTAGTCTTTAAATATTTACTACGGCATAAAAGTAGGTGCTTAATTTAATAATGGTCATTAATGTAGTACGGTCAGATAGGTGACCCATTTGTAGTGAAACAAACCCTCATTTTATGGATCTGCTGCCAAAGTGTTGTAAGTGCAATCTGTTCACCCGTCTCTTCCGCAATCCTGTCCTTTAATTCACGCAAACTTTTGATGGAACCATCCAGTCGTTGCTGCATTAAATCCATCACTTCTTTCCTATCAAACACATTGCCCTGTCGTCGACCCATTTTCTAAACATAATATTAGATTTTAATAACTCGCAAAATTAACAAATAATAAATTGAAATAAGGAAGTTTCAATAACGCGAAAAAATGAGTGTCACAAGAAATCTCCGCATTTTTCTAAATAATAAGAGATAATAAATGCTGTAACAATTAAAGAGGTCAAGAGGTTAAAGAGGTCAATTAAGCCCTGTACTTGGAGCCTTCTTTCATTTTTTTTTTATTTTCTCCTTCAGCTTTCTATCCTCTTCCTTCCTCCTCACATGTGATAGCCAATTTACCGAAGCAAAACCTTTCTCGATCAGAACCAACTACACTTCACAAAATATCCCCCCTCCCCCGACCCCTCTACTCCTGACAACTCCCCGCACCCTCTCTTGCAGAACCTCATAGCTCACCCCCATACACGGCACTGCTCAAAAGTTACGGTTGCGCGTTATGAAAATCATTATCCCTCAACGCAATTTGAAATTTCTATGGATATTCCGAGCGTAACCGGACGCTGTCTTTGTACATAGCATATATAGTCCAAAGAATATTTGGCTTCTGAAATTTCGTCTCATTTCCTGCGAGATTACTGAAAGCTTAACTGATTTATCTTCTGGTTAAAGAAAGATGACCGTTTTTTTGACCCGCTTTCGTTTCCCGATATTTCTTTCCATAAACTGACTTCTTTTGAAAGTGCATCGATATTTTTTATGACCGTTACAGAGCATTACAGATCAAATTTCATATGGCAATTGCTAGAACGAATGAAGTTTCGAATATTCTTCTAAGCAATGGTACCTCCCAGAACAGTACATGAGGAGTATTTTGGACTTCAGGACATTACATAAGGAAATCTCTTTATGTGAAGTAATTGTGAAGAAGCTTGCAAATTAATGAGTGAGCAAGACTACCGAAATAGTTTTGTCAAATGAATTATCCTGGAAAAAAAATCCTGCGAACTGGAAATGATCCGTTATCACTGCAAACTGTTGTGTAAAGGTCACTCGTTTATGGCAGAAGGAGACAGTGATATGATGTGGTTGGGAAAAGGATGGCGCTGCTCGGACTGATGCACTGTTTAAATGATAATATACCTAAATGCTTTTCACAGGATGATTATTTCACCCCATTCGACAATAATTTCTTTAATCTTATCCTGAAGAACTGTATGTAAGCAACAAAAAGGATAACAATGAATGTGAAAGAATTCCGGAAGGCAATTTATTTTCCTATTCTCCATGAAATTTGCATATCACTCTTTTTACACAATGTATTCACCGTTTTTCCACATCAATTTGTCGTAGCATAGCTGAATTGATTTTATTCAGTTTTATTCAGTTTTAATGAATTTGTTATTTCATGTAAAAACATGACGAATAAAAGTGACAAATGACTTCAATGACCTCAAGCATGGCATGGTAATTGTACATAACAAGTACTACTGTATAACATTTCCTGTGATTTGGAAATTGTACCCTGCATTCGGATTTAATGGCAAATTACAGAATTTTCCCATAATTTTGAATGGCTTCCCATTTCAGGATTTTAATCTTTTCATAGGAATTGCTAATGAGAAGCAGTACAACTGATAACAATTCAGTTCTCCTTCCCTTTCTCTTTCTGGATTCTTTTCCGGAATATGAATGTCAATTCTAGTCATGAAACAAGTTGCGTTCCCGCTAATTCTTGATAATGCCAGAATCATGTAAATTTCAGATTCTGCGCTCTACCAATGTATGGATAATAGAAGCCCTGATTAATGCTTAAATTGAAATGCGAAATGATGTCATGAAAATGCATTCATATCTTGAAGGACTAACTGAGTAAGAGTAGTAGTCATTTTTGCGCTCGTTCAAAAAAAGAAATGCAAAATCTCTGGAAAATCTTTCATTTCTCTTCTCTACAAAGAAAAAAAAACGAGAAATATTTTATAATCCTTGATTTTCCATTTTCTAAATAGCAGATTAGATTCGAGTCAACATGGGCACTATAAAAAGTAGCCTGAGGATGGCGCTTTTGTTTCCTGTCCCCATCCTCTCTCTCTCTCTCCCTCCCCCCCTCTCTCTTCTCCTCTCTTT